ATGGACGCTGCAGCAAGGCTGACGAGCTGCTAATTCAACAAATTATTTTTTATAATAAATCAGCACATTCTGCACTAAGCTGTGTTCCCCAGGGTTATGGGTTCCAGTCCCGCCCCTCTCCCACATTCAGCTGCTCTTGTTTCCTCCCACATGTTGTTTAGATGACTTGTGGTCTTTAAACCGCCGCGTGATGGAGGGGCTTTCCCTCAGACAGCGCCCCCTGCTGCATGGGCTGTCCCGGTTCTTTCACCTTGTGTGGCTGTGATACCTCGCCTTTAGTGTTTATGCTTAATCGCGTCATTCCCTGCAACACTCCCTTTCTAAGAATTCCATGGAATATTTCCACACTGAAATTGCCCTGCTGTATTCCCTCAGTCTGGACTGAGCCCCCCACCCCCCGTGGACTTGAACTTCTTCCTGTTGTTTGCTTTCTCTCGGCTCGCCTTTCAGCTGCCCTTTAGGTCACTTAATCAAAGGCGTTTGTCTGTTTCAGGGCCTTTGCTGATTTAATCCTACGCCCCCTGCCACCCTCCCCCCCCCCTTCCCAAATCACCCAGCCAGCGGGGCCTCACGGTCAATCCTGCCCAAAGAATGGCAACAATATCCCCCCTGCTTCCCAGGGCCATGATGTTGCCCCCCCCCTTGATGTAAGTCCCCCCCCTGCCCCCCCTGCAGAGGGATGCAAAGAGGACTGCGCCTGGGTCCACATGAACCCGCAGCATAGCATGTAGAATGCGTGTGTGCGCATGTTCCGCCTGTTCAGAGAAAGGATGGATTTGTTTTTCTATTGGCACTGACACAGAGTTAATAAAGGGAATGTGTGGATGCTGACAAATGAAAGAAAAGTCTCCTTATTCACCTCACATCTATCCCGTGTTGTGTTACTTATCCAATTTATATCTATTAGGAAATACCGTATATTCCCTAAAACCTGCCCACCTCATCCATCACAGAGTAAAGAGACGTTACCATGTGCTTTACACTAAAAACACTTACTAGAAATGCCGTATGCCTCATGTAAGTACTGCAGAGTAAATACACGGTTTTACCTTCTACTCCGCATGAGTTATACTTTATGAGCTTATGAAAAGTCACTTAACGCTCTGTAGAGACACCATTAAACATCTTAATGTCAATGGCACGCATCTCACTTAATTTTGGCATCATTATTCGTTAATTATATGTGCATAGATGTCATTATAGTTGGCACAGGACCAACTTTAGATGTATATCAATGTACATTTTTGATGTATTACCTATGGCAGTGAGGAAAATGATGTACTCTTATTTTACTGGCTGCTTTTCAAATGCCGAACATGGCTAATTGGGCATAAGGTCTGGTCAACAAAAGAGGTTTGAAAGCAAGGTATTGTTAAGTCTTCAAGTTCCTGGTTACAACACACTCCAGTGCAGCATGGTGATGTATTAGTGCCTGTTCCATAAGAAGTACTTAGGCCTGATTGAGCTGAATCCACCACTGCTTATCTATGATCCATCACAGGTTCGCCATCTTCATCGACCGTCCTGGAATGAAGCGGCTAAACAGCAAATGTGACGGTCGGTAACAACGTGGTTTCATCATGCTGCTGCAGCAGACGGGTCGCACTTTCAGGGAGGCAACGTGAGGGATCTGACGCGACACCAGCCGCTGACAACCTCACTCGGTTCACGGAGAACAGTGATGGAGGGAAGTTTCCCTACGCCTAGGCGGCAGCGTAATGAAGGTCTCGCCGTCTCTCACAGCCATGTGTCCCATATTGAGGGACAGCGAGCCTGGCTTCATAGGAGCTCTCTCTGACAGCAGCTCCTCACCGCCTCCGCAAAGGTTTCCAAATCAAAACCCGCCACCGCTGGGTCCAATTCCCGCGGGGCTCACGGTCCAACGTTTTGGGGAGAAGAGCCGCGGTACAGGAGGCTTTTCTGACTGATAGCTGCAGGGGCCGATGTCCTCCTCCAAAGACTGAGCCCTGAATTTCAATGCTTACTTCTCTAAAACACATTATCTATAGTTTATCTTTGGCCAAAACCTGAATTCTGGAACTGATTACATATTACAAGCTTTACATGGATTGCAGGTTGTGAATATTTTAAATTACCATACAATGAAATTATGCATCTATTTCGAGCCAATAGGAAGCACTGTGAGCACTGTGAGTCCTGTACTGGCAAGTACTCAGTCAGTACTGGATCAGTACTTTTTCATGGTGTGAGTATCTAACACAACATGCCTTTGTTTTGAGAGACTTCTGCACGTTTGCCCCTCAAAGTTACCCCTTTGTTTGAAGTGACGATCCTGATTATGGCCACAACTGCATGTCAGTGTTATTCTCCACTGTCATTATCCAAAATGCCCAGTAAAACACAACAGCAGCCTCACAGTTTATGGGGAAAACTGAATGTGACATCTTTCAGAGAAGACATTCATGCACACTTTTAGGCCCAGTACTGTCAGATGCAGAGGAGATTTGATCATCGCGGTTTTCCTGCAGTGACTCTCATCGTGGGTGTTCAGCTCTGGACATCTCGTGCCCCCACCCCCCCCCCCCCATGAACCTGATGTGGACACAGTGTGGAGGTTAAGTTCCAGTTCCTTCCCAGTGCATGAAACCACACAGTTTGCCCTCTGAGCACAAGCGCGCTTTAGAAATCCATGCCTGGGGGCTCGTTGTCATTCCTGCCGCGTGCGCCTGACACAACCAGCAGCGCTTAACGTTCTCTTTATTAGTTTTTTTCTGGGCTCCGGTTCTGACACAGGAAACATATTGTTCGGACTTCGTCAGGCGCCCCGTGATCCAGTCTCCGCTTTTCTCCCTCATCTTTTCTTAACAAATGCCGAAGAAACAGCAAATCTCTTCATTAGTATTAAAGCCTGGTGCCAGGCTTAAGTTTTCTCATTTCCAATGACACGAACTTTTAAAAGGCAGCACAAGGCTGAGCGGGACACTTATCATTCATTTATCAAGAGCACTTTTGCAGCCAGCCACGGCACATTTTCAATTAGATCTGTGGCGAGGCCACTTGACACGCGAGAGAGGGTCACGCCCCTCCAGGATGGACGCAGAGGCCCCAGACCTGTCTCACAATCAGCTGCTTTAATACTCGGAGAGAGAGAACACCCACATAATGGTATAGCACAAATGTCCTCTTTAGGTTTCTGCTTTTAAAATGAAAGGTATCTTACTTGGAAGGCAGATGCCAAAAGCTCTTCCACATGAATCATAAATAATCGGATGGCTTTCTGCTCATATTCCTTGGATAGAAAGACAAGGGGCACACAAGATAATCTGCGAGTGTGAGTCATTCTCCCAAAGCAGTAAACAAGCATTAAATCCACAGTGGACCGTTGACTGGCAGCTGCCCAGAAAACACGCCATATTATGGTTGATGATAAATCCTGATCCCTTGATTTACCGTGAAATATATATAAATCGTTCTGCTTAAGGTGATGCCCCTAGTTTGCTTCGCTCCTTTATTTATTAACCTCCCGATACTGTACATCTTCAGCCGAGTGATTCCCCCATTCGCTGGATAAAAGGAGATGCCTATTTTACAGGTATGAGGGTATATCTGCATGGCTGGCATATCAGGATGGCACTCGATCATCTCAGGAAAGAATCTGGAGATGATGATGAGAGATCAACAGCTGGCTTCAGATGGCGAAGGCAGAGAAGGGGCCCTCCGGCCTTTGCCAGTGATGGATCAGAGCAGCGTGGCTGCCAGTTAAATCACATTAACCAGTGACGTGACTCTCTCGCTGCCTTCTTTACACTGTGTCATATGTGGATGAAAATAAAGAACAAGGAGGGAGACGTTTGAGCTCCGGAAGAACCACCAGCGGCTGATGTGAGGGAATTGATCAATAAGACTTTATGAAAAGATTCATTCCCATAAAATGCTGCACAACCATATCTATCTATCTATCTATCTATCTATCTATCTATCTATCTATCTATCTATAGCGCTTCCCATGGGTGATGCTTCAGATGGACCTTGCTAGGAGAACATATCTACAGGCTCAACATGAAGCAAGTCAAGAAACTTCTCTGTAATTCTCACAAACGCTTAGCATAGCGTGATTCCAGATGTGCTCCCCAATCCCTGTAAGTCATGCATCAAACTCAAAAAAAAAAAAAACACTGATGGAAGCTGCACCTAAGCTGAACTTCATGCTGCTGTCATGGTGGAGATGTTACGTAGTGTGACAAATCCAACAGAGGAGATCTACACTAAGGAAGGTTTCTGTTTAGATTTTGTTAAGGGAGAGCGTTGGTTCAGCACCTGTAACAGTATCTGGCTGGTGAATGGCCTGGGGGGCTTTATAAAGCCTTACTCTATACCCTTCAGGGTCCATTTAAAAACTTTATTCACAACATGGATAACAATCATACCTGAAGTTCATTTAAGTAAGTTGAGTGTGGGATTAATTGAGAATTAATTTCCCCCACTTTCCCTAAAATGAGATACCGGGCGCAGAAACAAGGGCCAATTAATTAACGGTAGCTGATTTAGCGTTTTCTTGAAAGTATGTGGAAAGACGCCGTGAGTAATAAGGGCAGCGGTGCCCGGTGTCTCGGCGGCCGTAATGCTCGCTGATTCTGCATGTACTCGCCAGTCTTCACCACGAAATCTGCTGCAGTCATTTAGAGAAAAAGGGGGGAAAGAGAAACAACTGTTTTCTTTGCGGTTACAAAAAGCAGGCGCCTTCGCCTGGCAAAAGCACGACTGACAGCTCACTGCGGGCTGTGTGCGATAATAAGGCTATTATTCATCCCGTATCTGGGCACAGAGGGGTGTGGGTCACTTCATGGCCAATTTGTTAATTTGCTTTACGCTGATAATCAGTTACTAATCGTAAATTTACCCTTTTCAACACTGCCAAGGCCAGGGCTGAAAATTAAAAAGAGTGAAAGAGGGAAAAGGGAGAATGGGGGGCGGGGGGGAGTTTCTTAGCAGAGCTCCGGGCTTTCAGATGCTAATGCCCCCAGCAGCAGAGGCGGACGGCTGGAGCTCCACCCCCGCATCCTCCACCTTTCATCATGTAGGGAACTACTTCTGCACCGGGCCACTCTTCAGCACTTTTCTTCTGCTGATCCTTATGGCTTTGCGGGGCAGGCGTGCTTTCGCATTGGCGTCTTCCCCTCTCTTTTCCCGTGTCTCCCCATCTTTCTTCTGTTGTGACACCGGGGCGCCTGGGCACGGCTGGTCCGCAGCGGGAGCTCCGGGCTCCTCAGCGCAGCTCCCTGCAGCCCTGACGGCGGCGGCACCGGTGCGAAGACGCGACCATTCCGAACGGAGGTAAGGCGTCTTCTCTTCGGGGCTTTTCAACGATTTTTTTTCCTTTGGCTTTTTATCTGCGATTTGTCTTTTCGGATGGCCAAACTCTGTGGTCGAGTGATGGATTGATGTACAGAAGATCACCGGGCAGGTCCACTGGCAACTGCTGGAAGTGCTTAAGAAGCACCAAGATCCCAAGTTTCGGCGTATTGGCATCATGCAGGGACACATTTATTTCAAGAACAAGAATAAACGACTGTCGAATACACGCGGGGATGCGCTTATTACCAGAAAAAGCCAGACTCTCCATCCAGGAATTAAAGTGCGGAGAAACACGCCTCGTAAGTTCAATAGATCCTAGACACGCGGATTTTCTTAATAATTCGCCAAGGACTGTAGGGTTTATACTTTCTGTGAATATACGTCGCTGCCAGGTCTATAATACATTTGGTGAACGTGGGGTGTCTAATTTTAACCAGTATTCGTCAGATAGGAGTTTCTATGCGGCGTCTTAACGCTGGAGTTATTTGTCATTTATGTTCAGCAGTATCGATCCCCTTTTGGTTTATTTCCAGTACCGTAACCATCCAGAATACATTTGTTTGTATAAGTGGAGCTTTTCCATTTTTGCTAATAATGTAGCTTAAGTTTTTGTGCGTCGTTGTCGGAGATGTTTATTTAGCGTAAATAATGATATTAGTATACCTATTAGGCTAATACATTAATATGTGTATGACTAAACCCGCTTGTATACATATAGACGCGTTATTACTGGGGGAAGATAACGGAGTATCTGCAGCAAATAACTCGTTAAGATCTACCTTAAAAAGTAACTACGGCTTCTTCTTGTTTTCTCCTTGCTGTCCCCCGTGTGCGACTTAATTGTTCGCGTTACCCCAATGACCGACGGTCATTGTAGCCTGTCACACAGCTGCGCTCCCGGGTGTCACCGTGGCCGGACGGGGACTTTTTTTTATGCATTTGTGTCTGTCGGGTTTCATTAGTTCGGTTTTAGAAAAGGGGTCAAAGTGTAGGAAAGTTCGAAGGATACGTGACTTGCTTATTCTGTAGACGGATGACTGATCATACATGCCAAGCAACAGTCTTGTAATGAATAATGCAGATGAGAAAGCCCTGAGCTGACAGGTGTCACACATCCTCAGATGGACCGAATGGAGATGGCGTGTCTGAAGATGCAACGATCTGTTATGAGAGTATCAGCATGGACAGAATTGGGATGGCGTGTCCGTATATGCCATGATGTTTAAACCGATCCTCTGTTTAAAGTGCTCGATACAGACTCCGTAATATTACCCTACGCTCGCATTTCTCTGCCCCGTATCTCCGGAGCAAGTTTGCCAACGGAGCGACTCGCATTTGTCTTCTTTTTGGCATTTTCTGTCTTTGCTCTACTGCATTTTGCAGAGGGTTAATTAAAGCGGTGCCGTAAAACTCATAATTACAGAGTATATTTTATTTTTTTCATTAACCAAAAAATGACTGCATGAAAAGTTGTAGATGGCACCTTTGTCTCAGCAAGCTTACGAATGACAATCTTTTAGTTGCTTCTGGTTTGCCAAACATTCTAGATTATGGTTTACAAATTAGGCGCCTTGATAAAGTTGGGGCACGACCGGACACCTCCCCTCGGGGCGGGGCGGGAGCAGCATGAGCCCCAGCGATGCTCCCTGCTGCAGCGTCTTTCTGTTTGGGTCCGACCGCTCCGGAGGCGCCGTTTTCAGGTGGTCCTGGATTAGGCTGATTAAGTTTTGTGGCTGATATCACAAGACCTAAAGAATATTATTTATAGTTAAGGATAATAAGAAATTAAATCTGCCCCAAAATCACACTGTAAAACGGGTCGGATCGTTTATCGTTTAATTTATAATTGTGGTTTTTGTCGTATTCCAAATGCTTTTGAATTGCCAAGGCGAAAAGATATTGCCAATAATTGTTTATTATATTTGCATATTTGTTTAAGTTACCATATAGCCTAATGTAACAAAATTGCAAAATTAACGTAGCTGCTGTTCCTTGCATATCTCAGTCATCGGATGTATTGATTTGAAAATGTTTGTGTGTGTATGTGTGACCATCCCAGTGTCTGAAAGAGGGTTATATGTGAATCTTGTGAGCCGTTCCAGCTATAATCCCGGTTCCCGACCGCATCGCAGCGTCCGCGGTGATGAGGGAAACACCGACGTTCCTCCTTCCGCGTGGGTCCGGAGACTAGGTGCTGCCGCTCGGGTGTCCAGGTGGTCCAGGCAGCGTGGACGCCAGTGCCATTTATCTTTTCGGGGGGGGGGGTCCTATCATACGGCACCGGAGGCTAGCGAGACTTCATCATCCCGTCCCGGACGCGGTGTGCATTTGGAGTCAATCACACTGGAGAAACGCAAGTGATTCAGCTGTGATGTTAGTTGAACAGCCCTGAATGACTACCTTAACTATTAAGCTGGTGGATTGAATACCCCCGCTAGCACTATTCGAGCGATGGCTTAGATTTAGATTAACTTTATTGATAATTTGATCGTTATTTACAGCTATGATTAGAGGTTATTATTTCAGGGGTGGGGGTAGCACTGATGCTTGTAGACACTGGGTTCTGAGTAGCAACAGCTGTGAGCTTATTGGCCCCTCGTGGCTGGGCTGCTGTGTCTGGATTTCAGTGGTGTATTCAATAAAAACCAGAGTAAGATGAAAAGCTACAATGTCTATGTAGGTAAGAGTTTTGGTCTAAGCTGGATAGGTCTGCACTGTGAGGCATGTGTGTGAAAGGCACTATAAGGGGATATGGGGGGTGGTCTGCACTGCTAAACATCTGTGGAAGGTGCTATAAGGGCAGATGGGGGGTTTGCACTGTGAAGCATCTGTGTGAAAGATGCCATAAGGGCAGATGGGGGAGGGTCTGCACTGCGAACTGTTTGTGTGAAAGGCACTCTAAGGGCAGATGGGGGGCCTGCACTGTGAAGCATCTGCGTGAAAGGCACTGTAAGGGCTGATGGGGGTCTACATTGTGAGGCATCTGTGTGAAAGGTGCTATAAGGGCAGAAGGCGAGGGTCTGCACTGCGAGGCATCTGTGTAAAAGGTGCTATAAGGGTAGATGGAGGGAGGGTCTGTACTGCAAGCTGTTTGTGTGAAAGGCGCCCTAAGGGTAGATGGGGGGGTCTGCACTGCGAGGCATCTGTGTAAAATGCCCAATAAGAGCAGATGGGGGGCCTACACTGACGCATCAGTGTGAAAGGTGCTATAAGGATAGATGGAGGGGTCTGCACTGCGAGGCATCTGTGTGAAAGGCACTATAAGGGCAGATGAGGGGTCTGCACTGCGTGGTGTCGTGAGTGAAAGGTGCTATAAGGGCAGATGGGGGGGGGCTGCAATGTGAGGCGCCTGTGTGAAAGGCGCTATAAAGGCAGATGGGGGGTCTGTACTGCTAGGTGTCTGTGTGAGAAGCACTGTAAGGGCAGATGTGGGGGTCTGCACTGTGAAGCATCTGTGAAAGGCACGATAAGGGCAGATGGGGGGAGGGTCTGCACTGAGAGATGTCTCTGTAAAAGGCACTATAAGGGCAGATGAAGGGTCTGCACTGCAAAGTGTCTGTGTGAAAGGTGCTATAAGAGCACGTGGGGGTCTGCACTGTGAGGCATCTGTGTAAAAGGTGCTATAAGAGCAGGTGGGGGTCTGCACTGTGAGGCATCTGTGTAAAAGGTGCTATAAGAGCAGATGGGAGATCTGCAGTGTGAAGCATCTGTGTGAAAGGTGCTATAAGGGTAGATGGAGGGGTCCACACTGCAGCATCTATGTGAAAAACGCTATTTGGTGAGTGGGTGGTCCACACTGCGGCATCTGTGTGAAAGACGCTATATGGGGAGCGGGTCTGCACTGCACAATATCTGTGTGAAAGGCACGATATGGGGAGCTGGGAGCTCCACACTGTTAGACGTCTGTGCGACAGGCACTGTTAGACCTGCATGTGCAGTAAGGACACAGAGTGACAAATGACTCAGATGGAGGTCATGAGTGAATGTGTGGACTGACCCCCCCCCCACCACATGCTCTGACCAGCCATCAGCGGCTGTAGAACATGCAGACTGGGGCGGGTGTGGGTGTGGAAGAGGCACACTGGCCTGCTAAGCACTTGTAATCCTGATGTAATGTGCAGCTTGTGTGTGAGATTAGAGGGCTTGGGTAGCGCTCATCCCAGCGTCGGCCTGCTGCTGCCCTCCGGGGGTGTCCCAGGAAGCCGCCAGTCCTCCACGCATCTGACACTCATCCCAACAGGGGGCTGGTGCTGCCCTCAGCTCCTCCACAGGTCCAGAGCTGCTTCAGTTTGAGCCCAAGTTTCTGTACGCAATTCTGAAGAGCGAGAAGGGCGAGTGGTCCTGAAGTGAAATTATGGCACCGAACATCCTGAACCCTAACCTCAACCTTAAGCAGTTGGTGGACAGGGTGTGTTGGGAGAGACATAGCACTGAACATCGACCCTGAACGCCTTTGCACAGATGGCCGATGTGCGCGTGGATTCAATGTAGACGGTTGCCTGGAAGCCGTAGTTATCGTTAGAGGTGGTGAGCGAGTACGACTGCCTGACGGTAATCTTTGTGTGTTCTTTTCCTATTAAATTAGAAGCGCTGATAGGGGGCGCCGGTGACACGCATGGCTTTGATTTAGGGCCACAGCGTCTCTCTGGGGTAATTACAGGCACTCGATAAGCAGTTTGTTAAGGCAAATGGAAAAGCCCGAGAATGTCGGCTGGGCGTTGCATTGCCAGCATGCGCCAGTGTGTGCGGGGGGGGGGTTGGCATGGGGATAGTCTTGAAAGGCAGTGGGGAGAGAAGGGGGAGGGGGATGAAGGGGTGAGGCCATGCATCCTCTGAAGGCTGGTTCATACTTCACCGCACAAGCGCAACAGTCTCCTATCCACTCTGCGTATGCGTACACGGAAACGTTCATAGCTCTCCGGTCAGGCCGCATACTCCGGTCAGTGCATGCGCTCGTGTTGTATTTACATTATTATTATTGATAATAATTAATAATAATAATAATTGATGAATAACACGTACCACAGCAGTGAGGGTTGTGTCCGTTTCTTTATTTTTTACAAATTCAGAGAGCCACCTCACAGGGTTGCCAACATTGCAATGTGAGAGAAATCTGTACTGTCACACACACGCATTTACATGTATGCAACAGTTTTATTACCTTGTAAAAAAGTCTGTAGGGTTTGCAAACTACCCCAACGCTCGTCAAAAGCATCCATGTTGGCATTTAAAATGGACGCTAGCAAATCGATCTTGCACGCTGCGCCCAGAGCTGCGCGGACACAAATTTGGAGTGCTGCAGGCGTCCGTCCGCTGAGGCGTGCGATGCGTCGTAAAGGTTTGAGCGGACATGTCCGCTAGTACGCGTGCGAAGAAGTATGAACCAGTCTTAATGCTGTTTGAAACTGGCTGCTCTCTGAGTGAAATGGCTGATACTCAAAGGGGACGTCAGAGATGCGGCAAAGTAGCTTCTGTGTAACTTTTCATTAGCTGGGGGAGGTCTGGATTTTATTAGTGAGAGGGTAAACTCTCAACTCTCTCCCTCTCTCTTTCTCTCTAAAGAAGTTTATCTGCCTGCAGACAGCAAGTAGGCCCTGACGTCTCCCAATCAGCAATCTACACACTTGCCCGTTTTGTCTTTTTAATGAATCTCTCATTAATTCGTGGACAGCAGATAAAATGGTTCTGTGATGGTCAGAGTGATGTGTTACCCTCCTCCAGCTGAGCTCTGATCGGCCCGCTGGTTGTGTCAAGTGACTGTGGTCCTCCATCTCTCACACTCCCTCTCTCTCTCCCTCCCTCTCTCTGTCTCTCTCTCTCTCCTTCCCTTTCGATAGGTCTCTGCTTCTCCAAGCTGCCTGCTAACTGAGTGATTCTACATCCACCGGCTTCCCCTCTCGCTGTGGCTGCTTTTGGCTGCTCTCCCTTCCCTCCCTTAACTGGACGGAGTTTCCACAATTTCCGAGGCACAGCAGAAGTCTGACCTGTGGACTTGGCCCTGGATCTCTAGGTGGCGCATTCTCTTCTCCCAGTACTTTTTTATAAGGAGACATGCAGTGGGTTTGGGTCAGAATGGGTAACCCCACACATGGGGGCCTGCTGGCCACGCTGACAGTGCTGTTAGCCCTCTGGGAGGTGGGCTTCACGGGCCAGAGCTCCAGCCCTTCATCTGTTGCGCCCCCTGGGGACTTGGGCGTGTCATGGCACAGGCAGAAGCGTAGCTGGGTGTGGAACCAGTTCTTCGTTCTGGAGGAGTACACCGGGGAGGATCCTCTGTACGTCGGGAAGGTAGGACTCTTTCCACCTTGTGCCGAAACTAGTGATGTAATCAGCTAACTCCAGGATTCATTTGTCCCTGTACCAGTTTAGTCTGTGTGCCCTCAGCAAGCTCTGAGAAATGGAATAGAACACACACCCAACTGTGTGACATCAAATAGTTTCTGAAATAGAAAATGTCATTCCTACAAGAAGAGCAGCACGAATGAGTCCGTACTCAGCTGTACTCAGGTGTTCTCGAAGGCCACACTTTGAATTTCCATATTGTAATTTTAATAGAGATTAAATTAAATTAGAAACTAGAGTGACTCGGTGTCAGACTGCCCATCAGTCAGTGTCAGTACTAGGGGTGGATTTAAATTCTACACCGGCCTTGGACTTTCTTATTCGGGGGTGTTCCCCAGTGATGAATCTTTACTGAGTGGCAAGGGGGTCTGGGGTCGAAATGGGTCCCCCACAATAAATTCTGCTAGCCCACATACCCATCGTAGCCACCTAACCCATGTTAGGGGGGTCACTATGACCTGGGATAGGGTTTGTAAAATACCATTTCAATTAAAAAGACCCGGATTTCACTTAAGCACTGAGGTCTTCCTGTGTGCTGATTGGTCAAGTCTTCTATAATCATGCATGTGTCACTAATGTTATGTGAAACAGCTGGATGAGTCTTTCAATCCAACTAGTCAAAGCACAAGAACTGAACTATTTAGCCGAGCACAGCCGTTAAACTATGTTTAAAGTAGTTTGTAAAGCCTGAAGTAGCTCATAGTGTCCCGGCGATATGGATTAGGTCATCCTAACCCATCGGCTCACCAGAAAAAGCTTGGTATGCCAGGCAGCCCATCCAGACATGATCTGACCTGTTGACCGAGCTGTGTAAGGAGGAAGAGAGGGAACGTGAGAATGAACGAGGGGAGAGAGCCTACCGCAATGAACCGAGCCGGTCACTGACTCTCCGCCTCGTCTGGAACTTGGTGAGGATCAGCTGCTTGCTGATAACTCAGCTAAAGGCCAACTGCCCACTAGGCTGCCTCTGTGAGGGGATGGTTCGGTGATCGTCACGCTGTCTGAAGCTCAAAGGCGACATGGTCCCATTTAGTAGTGGCAGTACTTCGGTCGTCCTGCTGATGGCGCTGTTTAGAATGTCGCGTGTCCGATCTGCCTCGCGGTTCTGGGAGCACGGCCTGTTTCCCGCTGAGCTCTGAGCCATATTTCTGCTCTTAAAGCGGCACGCTTGGCTATTTATGCCGCAGCTGCTCCGTGTGTTTCTGCGCGCTGTGCTGTGCAGGGAAGAGCAGCTGATTAGCAGTGCTTCCACTAGCGTAACCAGGTAATTAGTGTAATTACCATAATGATCAGAATGTGTAATGATGGTAGATGCTTGGTGTTTGGCAGAGAGAGTCTGGATTAAGGCCGAATCTCCACTCTCACGTTGGCTGGGCGAAACACGGTAAACTCGCCTTGCCTGAAACCTGATGCGGAACCTGGTGATAGATTCTCCTTACAAACCGCCACTGAAATCTGGTCCCCTCTCCATGCCCTCGTGTGAAACTGCGTGATGGTCCTGGGTGCTGATTGTCATGCTAATCTGAAACTCAATGATGAAGCAGCGCTTTTTGGAAACTCCACGTGGATCCCAATCACTAATTCACATTCCCAGCTAACAATTCACGTTGAGTTACTGATATCCTCTTCAGTTACCCAGAGGTGGAACCCGTGACAGCCTCCTGAAAACCCTCTGTAGATGCCAGTGACACTGTGACAGTTACAGCCACCACTGTTTCAGTCAGGTCCTCCTTACGGCCAACTCGCCGACAAAAACGTAGAATTGTATCGTCTAAAATTCTAAATGAGCATCCTTACTACTGCACTAAAGATTATGCATCTTAGGTCATATTTAAATAGGGCTGATCAAACTGAATTGTGCTTTGTAACGGAAAGACTGCATGTTTCAAAAGACATTTTTAACTGGTTTTAAGCTGCTGTTGAAATTATCCCGTTAGCATTAGCCATCTTGTTATGATTCCTTGGTTTGACATCAGTTGTTGTTATGCTTTTGGAGAATGTGGATCCCGTATTCTAGCCTTACTTTCTTTGTACCGTGCCCATTAAAGAGAAACCCATTCTGTCATGTTCTTTGTAAAATACTTAGGCATTATGTACACCACAGAGTGTGCCCCGCAATGGCTTGGCACCGTATCCTGAGTTATTCACTCCCTTGCACTCATAGCTTCTGGGATAGGCTCCGGATACCTGTGACCTTGAATTGGACAAGTGGGTACAGAGGATGGATGGATGGATGGACAGATGGATTGATTGATTTGTTGTTTTACTGATCAAAGCAACTGACCTACCGAATTCAAGCCGATTATCTAAGCATTGGTCCCATTTAAAAGGCATGCTGATGTGTAATTTGGGGTACCAGCATGTCTGTTTTGTGGTGAGAAAGTTGTGCTTTACTGACCAGACTTTAAAAGCCCTCATATGATCTACTTCAGGGGTCACCAACATGGTGCCCACAGGCACTAGGGTGCCCCCAAGGACCACATGAGTTCCCCGCGGACCTGTTCTAAAAATAGCACAACTCACCATTTAGCAGCATCTAAAATTTAATTTTATCCTGTTGCTATTCTTCTTTAATCACATTTGAATTTATGTAGATTTGAAAATGACAATATCTTAAAAAAAAGCATTTAAAACATGTTCATTATACATGATTAAAGAAGAGTGTATCAAACTGGTAGCCCTTCGTATGGCTCAGTACCCGTGAAGTAGCTCTCAGTTTCAAAAAGGTTGGTGACCCCTGATCTACTGTGTTGATGCCTGCCATGACCCCGGTGGCTGTTAGTGGTATTGCCACCACTGTGGCCTGGATCACTGAACACACTGATCCACACGGTGTGGAATAAACAGAGTTGGGTAATTCAGGTCCAGAGAATAAAAGACCAGACCAGTTGTGTACTCTGTGACTGTGACTCTTTATGCTCAACTGGTTGGTTGAAACAAAATCCCGGTCTGGAATTTTACTCTCTGGACCTGAATTACCCAACTCTGGGACTGATTCTGTGCACCTGACAGCTTTATGAATGAAAGTGAATCGAATGTTAAATGGAGTTCTGGTGGTGCTGTGAAGTGTGTAATCTGATGCTATCAGCTTCTTTGGGTCAGGACCCAAACTCACAGCGTGAAGAAATGTTTGGGGCTTTGGCAAGCATAATACCTAAAAATAAACAAACAAGCAAACAAATAAACAAACAAACCATAAAAGTGCACCCTGCTGTTGCTATTGTGTGATGTTAATAGCAAATAGGGAAATATTCATTAGCATGACAGATGAGTCTGGAGTTTGATGCCACGCAGCTTTGGGGGCAGTGACAGAAATGACACATTGGCTGAGTGTCCATTGTGTGGACGAGCCCCAGGTGAGGGACAGGCATTGTGCTGAGGCTGAGGGGGGGCTCCTTTGTGTGTTTTGTTTCTTTGTCGAGGAGGTAAAACGTTTCCTGTGTTCTGCTCTCTGCACCCAGGGAATCTCTTTGCTTGCAAGAAAATGTTTCATAATGGAGGTCAACAATCATGATGGAGGAGGTCAGAGATGGAGCGCTAAGTGTCCTGAAAGTGCGTGGGAGAACAGCCTGACCTGTATCCACTCCGCGCATCAGGCTGCGATCTCCTTTGTGTGACGAGCGCTTCTTCGCTGGCCGCTCTTGGTGGTTGTTGGCTGCCATTGGCAGCTATCTCCTATTAGCTGCCGCTGGGGCACACAAATGCATCTGACAGGCCCAGCTCCACAGTGTCACTCACACGGTGACTTAATGAGCCGCCTTTCCATGTCCAATATGAAGACGGTCAAAAAAACATTTTTATGTTTTTTTTTTTTTTCAAATCCTGAAACCGTCTTCTGCAGATATAATGAACGTCATTATACGCATTCAACCATTCTTGCTCATGAAATGAACATAGATCCCCTTTTTTCGCCATTGGCCAACATCAATAGTTTAGTTTTCTTAAGGTTCATCTCCTTGTTGAATCAAAGGGTGTGCAGGTTTGGTTACCTCCGTTGGTTTTTACATTGGCGATCGCTGTCAGAGGCAGAGAGAGTCACATCCCTACAGCCCCTGAAATATAAGGTTCTTCCCTTCCAGGAGGTGTCAGGAACAGTTGACACGTCATTCCTACGTTTTGGTATGTAAACGCAGTGCCTCCCTTGTGATTGGACAGTAGGGTTGATCTCGGGTACAGAGGTCTGGTCTTTCTTGTGTTTAATTATAGGCTTATAAATAATGAATTGCAGGTTTTCTGCTTTTGTGGGATCTGGAGTTAAAATTAGTCACTTGGGTTTTATTAGGGTACTGATGGTTCTCTGCCTGCATTCCATCACTCTTTCTTCTTTTCCTCATTAGCCAGGCTACTTTATGTGGCAGGCGTGTATTATGTGGTGGTCTGTACAGTGGTTTGATGGATTCTGAATCGGGGGAATCTTAAGCTGATCATAGGGGTTTGTGTACAAAGCCTCCACAAACATCTTCTAAAAGAAATATGTAATGATGGTGTAAGTAAGTGTAATGTACGGTTAATCGTGAGTTTTGTACACTTTTGTAAACACTTTTGGTAAAGTCAGCTTCAAACACAGTTCCATTTTCTCAGATCCAACCGTGATACCTACTGCAAAAACTGTCATCGCTCTTATTTATAAATCTCCCGCAGCCAACACTGCATAGGGCAGTAACACACCATCCTATTTGTGGTTTAGGGTGGTAACACACCATCCCATTTGCAGTTTAGGGCTGTAACACACCATCCCATTGGCTGGCATCACACCAGTGTGGTTTAAGGGCTGTAACACACTGTCCCATTGGCTGGCATCATGCAAGTACAGTTTCGGCCAGTAACACACCATCCCATTTGCTGGCTTCTCTGGGCAGAGCTCTGAACTTTCCCACATTATCCATTCATTACTAAGAAGCATCAGCTACTTGACCTAAAAAACAGGAGAGCAGTTACTTACTATA